TGATGAAAAATGCATACTTTGATTTACTGAAAAAAAAAAAATTAATAATTTGCTATTTAAATTTTACAGCCAATTACAACGATCGATTGGCAAGAGATTTCATGCATTTTGGAAAACGTTCACCAAATATAATAATACCACAATTTGATCGCAATATTGCTTCTCTTAAAAGAGGAGAGGTGACAAAAAACTTTTTTGTCACACAAAAATCATCATTGTCCACTTCCTTTTTATCTTTTTCTCGTTTCTTTTTTTTTTTTTTTTTAAATTCTTAATTTTAATTTCTGTAAATGATAGGAATATAATTTATTTGTCAATGTCAACAGATGTCATCAAAAAAGAGTAATATTTTTTTTTATTAGTTAGCATTCATTTGTTTAAAAATGTTTTTGATATTTTCATTGTTGCATTTAGAATACTTAAAATAGTCTTTTATCTTACACAAAAATTATTTATTTTATTTGAAATTATATTGAAATCAATTTATGTAATTAAATTTAAAAAAGTTCCTGTTAAAAATTTAATAAAAGATGCAAATTAATGCATTTTAACTATTAAAAAAATAAGGAATAATTTCAAAAATATTTAAATAAAAAGAAAAAAAAAGAAAAAACTAAAATATTAATTATAAAATATGGTAAAAATTGAAAAAAGAAAAAAAGTTGACATAATTTTTTTTGATAATTCAAAGGAAAAAGTAGTTTTCATTGATAAATACCTTAAATTGTTACATCTTTTTAATTTGTTTAGTTCTCGAGAGATTTCATGAATTTTGGAAAACGTTCCATTGGTGACGATTGGTCTGATATAACACTAAAAGTTGGTGACAGTCCCGAATTACTCCACAAGAAAAGCAACACTTTTGATAGGGATTTTATGAATTTCGGCAAACGAGCAGTGCCATTTGAGCGCAATCTGATCAATTCAAACAAAAAAAGTGGCATTGACAGCGGCGCATTTGACCGCGAATTTCTCAGTTTCGGCAAAAGGTCAACAAATATACATTTGTATGAAATTTTTAGGTAAAAACGAGAGTAAACCAGGAAGTAATTAACAGGTGAAGGGAAAGGTATAGCTAAGAGTTCGCATATTTCAGTATGACATATGGAAAGGAACAGAGATTGTTTAAGTCTTACTGTCAGCTAAGTAAATGTGCAATTTAGTTTTTATTTTTGATTTGATATTTTTTGATTTCTTTCAAATTTTTTGAAATGTTTTATCAAAATATTGCTTAATAATCTTTTTATTTTAAAAAAAAAAAATATTTTTTTTATTGTTGCATGGATGAATATAAATTCATTTATGCAGCAATCAGCACTTTTAAACTTTAAATAAAATATTCTAATCAATTCAAATGTTGGCAGAAAAATTTTTTAAATATCATCTATGTAATAAAAATAGTAATATTATTTTTATTTGTTTTTTTCTTTTCAGATAATCACCGAATGAAATTCATCACAAAAGAATACAAAATTTTAAATGTGTCGTAAAAAATTTTCTCTGTTTCAGAGCCAATTAAAAAATTAGTTATTTGATATTAATTAATTAACAATGACTAAATTGTATGGTTGCATATGTATAAATTGCTATCATTTTTGTTTAGCTTTCAATGTTTCACAAAAATAACTTTAAACTTTTTATAGTTTTATTCGAGAAATTGAATTATGCAAATTAATTACTAAAAGCTGATAAAGTTGCAATTTTGATGAAATTTGAATGAATTATGCTAATTAATGGCTCTTTTTCCGAGAGAAAATTATGGTGGTATACTTCAAATTGTATTTGTTTATTGTGAATGAAACTATTTCTTACTTGGAACAAGTTTATTACCTTTAATATTTACTCTTAAATTTGGGAAAAAAAAAAAAAGAAAAACTCAACTTGGAAAATAATTTGCGCTTCTTGTCAAGCCGATTCTCATTAACAGAAGAAGTGACCATAGGACAAAAATGAAAAGAAATGATTAATTCAGAACAACGTAGTTAAATTCTAAAAAAAAAACGTTGCATTGACAAAATTTGATTTGATAAAATTCAGAATTGGAATCAAACTGAAAATTAGAAACGACAATTGCGCCAAGTGCAGAAAATTTTGACTGTCAAAGTTGTTCAGAAATAAAATGAATTATTTGATTTATTGCATAAAACAATGGATATTGCTCTTTCATATTTGATATGACACTTAGTCCTTTAAACTTTTTTTATTAACTTTTTCAATTTTTTATTCAATTATACACCCAATAACCAACTAATTTCTGCATCGCTCCTCTAACTTCAAATTTTAGTTAATGCTAAATAATTATATTAAAAAGTTTGTTATTTTAATTGAATTAAATCATTTAATTTACTTTTCAATACTATTAGCATTATTATTACTTTACAAGGGACAGTTTTTCATTTAATTTTAAATTATAGAAAAATATAATTTAAAATTATAGAAAAATATAATTTAAAATTATAGAAAAATATGATTTAAAATTATAGAAATTATCAACACTGCCATCATTATCATCACTATCATCATCATCATCACTATCATCATCATCATCATCATCACTATCATCAGCATCATCATCATCATCATCACTATCATCATCATCATCATCATCACTATCATCATCATCATCATCATCATCATCATCACTATCATCATCATCATCACTATCATCATCATCATTATCATCATCACTATCATCATCATCATCATCATCACTATCATCATCATCATCATCATCATCATCATCACTATCATCATCATCATCACTATCATCATCATCATCATCATCATCACTATCATCATCATCATCATCACTATCATCATCATCATCATCATCATCACTATCGTCATCATCATCATCATCATCACTATCACCATTATCATCATCATGACAAACTAGCTCAAAGTGCAAACACTTGAAGGAGAGTGGAAAATTTTCGAAATAAATTACAATCCTAAGTATGGCTTATGTTACCTCAGCAAATGCTACTAATAAATATGGAGAGGATTTCCTTCCTTTGCTTCTCACTTATAAAAAAAAAAAACAAATCTAATGCATCACTGAAAAACTGTTACTAAAATCTGGTTGGTAGTTTTTTATTAAACACGAATGTTACAAAGACAAAAAGAAAAGGGATGTTCGAAAATATTGCCCTTTTTAAATCCATGCAGTGCAAAATTCAAAATTTATAAACGAAATTTCATTCTATTATTTGAATGAAAAAATAGTGAAAATTCGGGGAGTATAGCAATGTTGATCTAAAATTGTGTCTGTTTAAAATGATGCGAGTGGAAAATTGGGGATAGATTAAATTATACTTCAAAAGTATCGGGATTAGTGACAAGTCTCAGGATTCAAATTGTAAAGAAGGACTTTTCCTCCAGAAATATAATTTCTAGCAAACGCTAAACCACTATCTGTTAGACTACTAAATGCAATCATTTCACGTGGCACAGAATCAGAACTGACAAAATACGATCGTGCATGATCCAACAAAAGTGCTGCAATGCCTCTGCGTCTTAAAGTTTGATGTACCCAAATTCGATTAACACCCATGTATACATTGTTGCTTGTTGGGATTATATCATTATTTGCTGCTGTACAGTTTTCCTTGAAATTAAATGTAAATTATGATTAATGTTAGGCTGTGTACACAAATATTGTTAAGACAACTTAAATTACAGATTTTTTTCTCAAAAGAAAGATATCAAGTAAGACTTTTTAACTTGTGGATAGAAATGGATGGAATGAAATTAAAATTAACTGATAACACGAAAAGGATATACCTCTGCATACTGCAGCTGTTTCCTGGAAATCTTTTCAACTAGTGCTACAGCACCAATAAAGTAATATTTGTCTGAAGCTGTAACGTATACCCAAGCTTGTCTTCTACCATCTGATGTCCAAACTTGCGCTAAATCTGGTGTATAGCCTAATTCTTTATTGATGCATTCCAAAATAATCTATAAATATGCCATGATGAGGAAAGAATAATAGAAATATGCACTAAACTGATACGATGAATCAAATGAGAAGAGAATATTTTTCATTTTTAAATTGATATATAAGATGAAGTAAACTTCCAACTGTCTGAATTTATAAGAAATCTATCATTTACATGCAGTCTGATGCATATCGAAATGTTATCAACAAGAAAGAGATAAACCTTATCAACACGTGTTTTCAATGTACATTTCGATGTTTGCGTAATGCAAAATATGTGACTATAATTGCCTTCGAATTGTTCAACAATGCAAAAGGTAGTCCTTAATACAGTGTAAGACTGATTAATCTGTAGCCATAAAAATTTAAAATGTGGTTTAAATTCAAAGCATTACTGATGACTGTTATGAAGATGTGTGTGCAGAAAGCATAAACTGACATTTCCAGTGGAAATTTCAATTTTAAATTCAAATATGACATATAAAAGATCTGCTGAAAAGGAAAGCTGTACCGTTTCCAAACATTTAACTGTGAACTTTGCACACGAAACCATTTGGGTGAAATTCTTGATGTTGCTTCTGATCGAATAACTTCTGATCGAATAAAATGTTTGCGTAATGCAAAATATGTGACTATAATTGCCTTCGAATTGTTCAACAATGCAAAAGGTAGTCCTTAATACAGTGTAAGACTGATTAATCTGTAGCCATAAAAATTTAAAATGTGGTTTAAATTCAAAGCATTACTGATGACTGTTATGAAGATGTGTGTGCAGAAAGCATAAACTGACATTTCCAGTGGAAATTTCAATTTTAAATTCAAATATGACATATAAAAGATCTGCTGAAAAGGAAAGCTGTACCGTTTCCAAACATTTAACTGTGAACTTTGCACACGAAACCATTTGGGTGAAATTCTTGATGTTGCTTCTGATCGAATAACGAATCGCAATCATATACCATATCACACTGAAGATGGTGACCATTGTGGTATATATTTCGATCGATTAATATAATTTTGTTTTTTTTTTTTTCATTTCAGGTGAGAAAGGTAACTAACAATGGAAACTATGACAATTCTTATACTTATTTCATTAGCTGCTGCTATTGTTCAATCAGAACATTATGGTAATATACTTTTTTTTTTTTTATTAAAAAAGAAACTATAAGCAAAATGAAATTTGAAAAATACTAAATGATTATTCTATCGTACTTTTTTAAAATCAAAATTTTTTATCGCATTCTAATTAATTAATTCATTAATTATTATAATCAAATTTGTGTTAGAAAAAAAATTGACACGAATAGTTGGAAGGAATAGATAAGGGAATTAATTTGTTATCATTACATAAGCTATAAATTTTAATTAATTTAGGCTAATTAGTCTTCATCTAAAATGTCAACTGTTTTGTCATTTTATGATGATGAAAAATGCATACTTTGATTTACTAAAAAAAAAAATTAATAATTTGCTATTTAAATTTTACAGCCAATCACAACGATCGATTGGCAAAAGATTTCATGAATTTCGGCAAACGAGCGGTGCCATCTAAGCGCAATATGATCAATTTAAATAAAAGAAGTGACAGTGACAACGGCGCATTTGACCGCGAGTTTCTCCATTTCGGCAAACGAGCGGTCCCATCTGATCACAATATGATCAATTTAAATAAAAGAAGTGACAGTGATAATGGCGCATTTGACCGCGAGTTTCTCCATTTCGGCAAACGAGCGGTCCCATCTGATCACAATATGATCAATTTAAATAAAAGAAGTGACAGTGACAACGGCGCATTTGACCGCGAGTTTCTCCATTTCGGCAAACGAGCGGTCCTATCTGATCACAATATGATCAATTTAAATAAAAGAAGTGACAGTGACAATGGCGCATTTGACCGCGAGTTTCTCCATTTCGGCAAACGAGCGGTCCCATCTGATCACAATATGATCAATTTAAATAAAAGAAGTGACAATGACAACGGCGCATTTGACCGCGAGTTTCTCCATTTCGGCAAACGAGCGGTCCCATCTGATCACAATATGATCAATTTAAACAAAAGAAGTGACAGTGACAACGGCGCATTTGACCGCGAGTTTCTCCATTTCGGCAAACGAGCGGTCCCATCTGATCACAATATGATCAATTTAAACAAAAGAAGTGACAGTGACAACGGCGCATTTGACCGCGAGTTTCTCCATTTCGGCTAAAGGTCAACAAATATACATTTGTATGAAATTTTTAGGTAAAAACGAGAGTAAACCAGGAAGTAATTAACAGGTGAAGGGAAAGGTATAGCTAAGAGTTCGCATATTTCAGTATGACATATGGAAAGGAACAGAGATTGTTTAAGTCTTACTGTCAGCTAAGTAAATGTGCAATTTAGTTTTTATTTTTGATTTGATATTTTTTGATTTCTTTCAAATTTTTTTAAATGTTTTATCAAAATATTGCTTAATAATCTTTTTATTTTAAAAAAAAAAAAATATTTTTTTTATTGTTGCATGGATGAATATAAATTCATTTATGCAGCAATCAGCACTTTTAAACTTTAAATAAAATATTCTAATCAATTCAAATGTTGGCAGAAAAATTTTTTAAATATCATCTATGTAATAAAAATAGTAATATTATTTTTATTTGTTTTTTTTCTTTTCAGATAATCACCGAATGAAATTCATCACAAAAGAATACAAAATTTTAAATGTGTCGTAAAAAATTTTCTCTGTTTCAGAGCCAATTAAAAAATTAGTTATTTGATATTAATTAATTAACAATGACTAAATTGTATGGTTGCATATGTATAAATTGCTATCATTTTTGTTTAGCTTTCAATGTTTCACAAAAATAACTTTAAACTTTTTATAGTTTTATTCGAGAAATTGAATTATGCAAATTAATTACTAAAAGCTGATAAAGTTGCAATTTTGATAAGATTTGAATGAATTGTGCTAATTAATGGCTCTTTTTCCGAGAGAAAATTATGGTGGTATACTTCAAATTGTATTTGTTTATTGTAAATGAAACTATTTCTTACTTGGAACAAGTTCATTACCTTTAATATTTACTCTTAAATTTGGGAAAAAAAAGAAAGAAAAACTCAACTTGGAAAATAATTTGCGCTTCTTGTCAAGCCGATTCTCATTAACAGAAGAAGTGACCATAGGACAAAAATGAAAAGAAATGATTAACTTCAGAACAACGTAGTTAAATTCTAAAAAAAAATGTTGCATTGACAAAATTTGATTTGATAAAATTCAGAATTGAAATCACAGAATTGGAATCAAGCTGAAAATTAGAAACGACAATTGCGCCACAGTGCAGAAAATTGTGATTGCTAAAGCTGTTCAGAAATAAAATGAATTATTTGATTTATTGCATAAAACAATGGATATTGCTCTTTCATATTTGATATGACACTTAGTCCTTTAAACTTTTTTTATTAACTTTTTCAACTTTTTATTCAATTATACACCCAATAACCAACTAATTTCTGCATCGCTCCTCTAATTTCAAATTTTAGTTAATGCTAAATAATTATATTAAAAAGTTTGTTATTTTAATTGAATTAAATCATTTAATTTACTTTTCTGCGACACGAAATGCCATATAAAATGGTTGCAAATGCCTTAAATCAAATATTGAAAACAACAAATATTCTAATAATTGAATAATGGATAGCAAATGTAAAAACCTAAGATCACTTTATCTTTTCAATAAAGTAAATCAAAAAAAAAAAAAAAAAATCGGTAAAATTAATTTAGAAGTTTACTCTTTGTCCCTTTTGTCAGTTCATTACTGATGAAAGAACAAAGATATCAAAAAATTATCAATTTAAAAATCAGTAGAAAGCTTACTTTTTTTCATATTGCAGCAAAAGTTTCACTGAATAAGAAATGAATTTGTAGGAAATTTTTGAAATTTGATAATGTTTATAAAAGTTCACTTATTATAGATGATAATATCTGACCTTTTATCACTATTGGCATTAGTATCAAAAAGTGATAACAATTATAATTGCAATGCTAGCATGCTAATTCTCCCTTTTTTTGCCAATTACTTATCAATAATATAAAGTTAAAGAATACTGAAATTACTATAAGAAGATAATAGAAGATTTTATTTGCTACTGATTTATGCAAATTTATTTTTAGTCTTAAATTCTATTTGTAATAATTTTTCCTTCTTTTCCTTTCCTCTTAGTTTAGCATTGATTATTAATAATTTAACGAACTAATAAAAGCAAAATAACAGTTTATTTTGAAAATTGGTACTTGAATATCGATTTTATTGATACGATGACAGATCAAAACTACAGTTTTCTCGAAAAAATGAAGTAAAATGGTATGAAATTATGAATAATTATCAAAATCATTATCATTTCACAGTAATATTGGCAGTTTGAATTTTTTTTTTTACCTTATTTGACAAAAGAGAGGTATTTCTCAATGCTCCACTAACGGAAAAGTAGTAATTTATTATTATTATTATTATTATTATTATTATTATTATTATTATTATTGGTATTAGTATTGTTGTATTGTTATTGGTATTATTATTATTATTATTATTATTATTATTATTATTATTATTATTATTATTATTATTATTATTATTATTATTATTATTATTATTATTATTATTATTGGTATTAGTATTGTTATTATTATTATTACTGCTGTTATTATTATTATTATTATTGTTACTGGTATTATTACTATTATTATTATTATTATTGTTATTGTTATTGTTGTTATTATTATCGGTATTATTATTACTGTTATTGATATTATTATTAATCATTATGAATGTATGCTAATAATAGATATTAATTCTTCATTCACTTTAAATATTTTACTTCGTCGTTTAAACACTGTCGAAAATATCGAAAACAACAGATGGATTGAGAAATATTTTAAAAAAAAAGAAATGAGAAACAATTATTTCATAGTTTTAATGAAGCAATTAAAGTACTAAAAAATGTGAGATATATTCAAAAGGAAAATATGATAAGAAATGAATAGAAATAGTAGATCGACCAGTTTGTTAGGTTATTTCAAAAGAGAAAGAGAATTCATTTCAAAATTGTTTTTCATCCTTTTCATCTCTGTTACCAAAGTAACGGATAACTTGTTGTGTCATCAAAGTCAACCAATAATTCATGCACTGTGAGAAGTGCTAAAGTATTTCAACTTAGAGTAATATCTGCTAAGAAGTAAGTAATTAATTAATTTATTGATCCAAATAATCTTTTTAGTAGTAAAAACAAAGCATTCACATTTTGTTTCGAAAATTCTTGTTGTTTTGATCAATATTGATATTCAAATATACGTACATATTGTAATCTATCTATATGCAAATTAGTAGTAGTAATGAAATAAATTATACTCTCAACAATTTCTTCAATTCTAATTGATCTGATAACAGCTATCACTTAATTTTTGATCGTTATATGAATGTATGAAGCGGTTTTGAAAGAATTTTAAAGTTATCAATATTATTAGCATTATTATTACTTTACAAGGGACAGTTTTTTCATTTAATTTTAAATTATAGAAAAATATAATTTAAAATTATAGAAATTATCAACACTGCCATCATCATCATCATCATCATCATCATCATCATCATTATCATTATCATCATCATTATCATTATCATCATCATCGGTATCGTTATCATCATCATGACAAACTAACTCAAAGTGCACACAGCCCTTTTCAAGGAATCAATTATCATTTTTCCTTTCTAATTTATATAAATAAAATTATCTTTTCTGTCAAACAAAACATCAATCTGGAAAGAAGGAGAGAGAGAGAGAGAGAGAGAGAGAGAGAGAGAGAATAAACAGAGTTTTGTTTTTATGAAAGAAATCGATTTATAGTATAAGCGGCAACCACTCGTTACATATTTATTTCAATTTCAACCGTTTCATTTTCATTGTCTGTTTTGTTTGTTTGTGAAATGAGTAGAAGGAAGGAAGTGAGTGAGTGAGTCATTTCACAGAAAGCCAACTGCTCATATTCACTGCTTTATGTCATTCCGCATCAGTTTTTTATTTCAAATATAATTATTACCAAAATTTGAAATAGAATTTCTTTTCATTTTTAGTTTAAAATTTTCAAAAAATTCTTTAACCTTTAATTGTTTTGATCGAATTTAATATTAAATGAAATATTTTATTGGAAGGAAGGATGAAATTTACAAACAAATGTGAAATAATTGAAATCATATATTAGTTTTGAAAAATAACTTTTGTGAAATTTGAACATAAATGTGAAAATATCAATCATATAGAATTGAATTTTTAACTTATTGTTAGGTTAGTTAGATGAGAAATTTAATTATTTGAAGTCTTATTTTTGTATAAAATATTAATTTAATTTCCTCAAAATTAAGAAATGTCAGAAGAATTTCTTTTATTTTTGTTGATTACATTGAAATGATTGATTTTTTTTTCCTTTCAATTTCAACTTTATTGTCATTTGCAATTTGTTTTTGCATAATTTTTAATTGCGTTTGTTAATTTTGAATTTTAAGTTTTTTTTTCTCGACTGTATTGCTAAGATTATTTAAATTTCGAATTTGTCACAACATTCTTTTTCTTGCAAAAAATTTTCTCAAAATTAATTACATTCTAGTATGAATATAAATTCAAGATTTAAATTCCAGAAAAAGTTAGAAAAAAAAAACTTTGTAATCAGTAAATAAAAAGAGAAAGAAAAAAAAAACAAACAAATAATTTCTAATTGAGCAACAGGAAAAGAGACGAATTCAGCAAATAACTATTTTTATAATTAGCAAACATTTTTTTTAGTCTAATTTTAATTCTTTTCATTACAGCAATTTTTTTTTTTTTTTTTTTAAAAAGCACAGTAAAAAAAAACATATATCAACAATGGATGATTGCTATTCGTATTTTTGTTAAATTTAATTTTTTAAAATATTTCAAATTTCTTTTACAAAATTTTTCTCTAAAAAAAAAATACTTCAAATTCCATCAATTTTATATTTAGAGAAAATATTGACTGTAAGAGTTAATGACTGGCGACAAATTGTAATATATTTGTCAATTATTTTGCGGTTTAATGGCTACCGTTGGAATTTCTTTTTTTTTTTTTTCAATTCAATAAATGCCATTAGTAATATAAAAAAGTAATTCTCAACTTTATATGTTTTATTAAAATGTATTTTTAAATTTTTAATAAGT